ACCGCGTCGAAAGCGTTGTATCAGTACGCACAGATGAAGGTATTGGGCAGAGAGATCGGAACGGTTTTTAATGTCAAGGCCACAACAACAACAACAACAACAAAAACAACAACACGCACAGAGAGACCTGTACGACACTGGCACCAGGAACGAAGCTTGTTGGCCAGCGTTTGTTCACAAGCCGCTCCAGGAAAACGACACAAAAAAAGTCGCAGAAACAGCGCACGAAGAGCAAAGAGAAGGCAAGAGCATACATCGCCATCGGCGAAGACAGCGAGGCAGGTTCACCGAGAGAGGCAGCAGCTAGCGAGGCAAAACAATAGCCTACACGAATGTAAGAAGCGCTGCAACACTCTCGGAGGCTTTGTGGCAACCGTGCGACCCCCCGTTGCACTGCTGCTGTGCCCGTCAGGAAAGATCGCCACCACAAACACACACGAACGCCTCGGCCCCCCTGGGGCCAAAGACCCCAACCGGCACCACACCTAACAGTGCTTAAGACGAGTCCGTACATTCCTTCCTGGACAGCCTTAGTAAGAATCTTGCAATCGAGAGGGGGGGGTCGTATCCCTGTCCATAACCCACCCCATACCCCCCCACTAAAACCAAGCTTAACATCCCCGCCAAAACTTCCTTCACCCCCCCCCCCCCCCNTGCAGGAAGGGCTTGATAAGCGACCACCCCGAGCCAATGAGGAGGACAACGACGAACAGGGTGATGCCCTTGAGGAAGGCGAAGAGGTAGTAGACGATGCTCCACGCCTCCGCCGCGCCGGTAAGGCCCAGGTAGTGGTACCGGATGGACTCGAACAGCATCGACAGGGTCTTGAACACCAGCAGCGCGGTCATCATGTGGTGGATGTGATGGACCTTTTTTTGGTGGCAGAATTGACCCCATACGCATCGAATCAGGGCCAGGGAACGTGTTGGGTAGAGAAGATCATGTTAGATTATCACGCGTACGCATTTTCGGAATAGTTGGGGCCCCCCTCCAAGGTCTTCCACACATAAAAAGGTCAAGCACCCTCGAGGCAGTTACACAGTGCTTGCTACTGTCTCTGGAAGTGAAAGCACCAGAAAATGAAATAAGTCATACGCCATCTGTGCGCAAGGAAGTGAGCACAAGATGCCGAACACCCTTAGCAGGATGCAGCGCACCCTTCATGCGACCGCCGAATACATCACGGTGCTTCGCGCTTGGTGATGTGAGAGCCTGATCCGGTGAGAGCCCGGCGTGCTCGGTTCCGGCTTTGTAGTGGTGCGAGGTCAATGGTCTAACGACTACGGCATGCACGACTACATGAATGAGTACATCCGCCCCTCCAAGGGCAACATGCTCGCTCGCACCAACGTCATTTCATTGGTCAGCAGGTTGGCGCCGTCGATGCAAATAAAAACACACCAATACACACATACGCGGGGCCCCACTGTCGAGAGAACCCTTGCACTGGAGAGTGTGTTCGGGCTCGTTGATGATGCTAGATGACCGAAACATTGTGTCATGGGTTAGCCGGTTACAGCGCGGTCGATGATAAACAAAGAAGCACCACGCACACACACGGGCCTTTGGATGCCGACGGGGCAGGAGAGGTGATTCGGCGCGCGTGATGACTACAACAGGTCTTGAATAAACTTATTCATCGTCCGTGGCCCAACTTATGTCCGCTGCGGAGTTTAACAGGACCGCGGCTTGTCCCACACACGCTCGTGCCGAACAAACTCCCTCTCCACCACAGAGGCGAACCAAAAACAATAGACTGCTGTGTTCGCGTGTTCGCCAGGCACCGAAGTGCACCCGCAGGAGATGGACAGACACGAGGGGCATCGCGGGAGACCAAGCGGTGGCGTCTTCCTTAACGCATCGCCCACCACACAAGCCATTCCACCCCCCCCCTGCCGGCCTTCCACTATCTCACAAGCCAAGACATCACACGAGCCCATCCGCCGCGCCCCCGGCCGGCCTACCACAAACCCACAAGAAATATCTCCTTCATTCGCACACACCTGAGACGGATGTCTCCTAATGCACCGCGCCCAGACCACCAGCGCCGCCGAGAACAGCACGAACATTCCTAGGAACAGCTCCGACAGGGACTCGCTCCCGGCAGACAGGTAGTCCCGGTCCCCCCCGATCCCCTCGTTCCAGAACGCCACCCTCAGCTTGAACGACACCTTGTGCTCCTCCGCCATCACCACCACACCTCCCCCCTCCGATTCCACGGGGCACCCGCAGTAGAGCAAGACGTAGAGACCCTCCTCTCCCGGGCCTACCGTCCGGCTGGCCTGGCTCCCGTGCTCCCAGGCGGTCTTGTCGCTAAGCTCGAGGACGAGGTCTCCCGGCCCGGCCTTGTCGAGGAGGCACGTGGGCTTCCCGCCGTCGCCGCTCCCTGCTACGCTTCCTGGACGCCCTACCGCCAACGCGTTCTGTTTTGTTTTTTTTCGCAATGAGATAATAGGTTTGAGACCAAGCTAACGACTTTGCTGGATGAGGGGAGGGGGGTTACCAATGTGTGGACCAAGCAAACGACGAGTTTGTAATGGGAGGCGGGAGTACACTTAGCCCCAACGCATCTCAACTTTTGGCATCCGAAACATTGGCAAGAAACAAGCATGTTTCCACGCTACGTCGGACGGTATCGGGTCGTGCCCACGCAGTTAGCGGGGCACGACGAGCGAACCCCCCGCACAGGCGCGCGGTGTCACGCATGTGCTGCTGTTATTTCGCCCGCTGGGAGAAGGGCGGGCAGTACCGGACTGAAGACCCCGAAAAACGGAGGACGCCTTACCTCCCCATCTCTCATGAAGAGGAGCGAAGCAGCGGAAATGGCGCACTTTTTCACACCGACCGGTACAACAAGACAATATCGCCGCGCACTTGGGAGGCCATCCAACGACTGTGTCTGAAGGGTGTCGGGAAGTCATCATCGGCGTGTCATCGCAATTATGGTAAGCTGGCAAAGCATGGACGCAGGACACGCGCAAAACTCTCCCAGAACAAAAGCATAGCCCGGCGTTTCGGACCACCCACGACGCTTGCGGTGCGAGTTACGAGGTGCGTCACCTCGACTTCCTCCTGCGCAGAGCTCTCCGTGCCTGTTCTCCTCACCACGAAGCCCGACCGATATGGCTGCGGTCCTTCCACCTTTTTTTGTCCACAACGCCCAACACACACAATGAGGGTATGGGGCAGGGGTAATTAGGGGGGGGCGGGGGGCACAGAACCAATCATGCGAAAAATGTAAGCAGGCAAGCACGGCACGGGGACAATTTTTTCGTGACCCATGACCGGAGCACCTCATTTTAAGAGAGGCGCATATTGGAGCAACATAAAGTAACGGCAGGAGAGCTTCCAAAATAACGCTGCGATCCTTCGCCCCGGTTACCGAACAGACCCTTTCGTTGGGCGTCTTTCAAAACCTCCCCTCTCTCTCTCGCTCTCTTGCGCTCTCTCTCTCTCTCTCTCTCTCTCTCTCTCTCTCTCTGTCATCGTCCCGCTTGTGTAGCCCATGCTCCCCGTCTACCTCCAACCTTTCTTCTCTCCGTTATTTTCCACTGTTGCGAGATGGACTATAAGAAAAAGAGGTCATCCCGCCCAACGCGATTCCGTTCTACACAGCAGGATAACCCTCTTAGTACCCAGCTAGTTACTGGGTCCAGAAAAAATCGCGTCCGCTCATTGGGAGAGGCTGAACAGTCCCGAGGGCCCAAGGCTGACTTGGCTTCAGTATGGCAATGCTTCAAGGGAGGGAACCACCAAGTGACCGCATGCATACGGGAACGGCAGTGATTTGAGCTGCAACGACCACCTAAGAAGCGAGGCAAGTTCCAACGAGCCGACATTCTACCCGATCATACCCTTTACAGGAAATAGGGTTCCTCATTCCGTTATCTACGGCAGTATAACCAAGTCGATGGAATATGTACACGGACTGCCCATGCAGTGTACATACATCACAGCAGTCGCTTGCACGAGATATCCTTCTTTTCGCTCCAATATAGTGCTTGAGAGAAGAATCCTACACCATATTTCGCTCTCCTCCTAGGACACAGTAGTCAGTGAATGCGTACAACACTGCAGACTGAAGAGCAGCTATGCAATCCAATTTTGATGCGTTGAAGCATCTTGCCCGGCCTTCCAAAGAATTTCCTACATGCATATTCTGAATTCTGCGCTTTTCTTCCCGCCGCCGCTTGTTCTCATGCCAACAAGGCACACCCGCACACCCACCACCCTGCCGCAAACGCACCGAAAATCCAGACACGGTCAAGTTCATGAAGCCGCGCTCTCGGAAGCCGAAGCTCTCGATCTGGAAGACTCTCCTGGCATCATGGTGCACCCCCAAATTGTGTATCATCCCGCAGCAGGTCGGTGGGGCCAGCAAACAGAGCGCAACGAGAGCCGGTGCTCTCGCTCTGGGTCGTGCTGTACATTGCGACGACCGCATGGGCGTATCGGCTGGGATCCCGTGCGGCAACTATCGCATACAGCCAGCAGTGAAGAAGCTGCTGTGCTCTCTCTCTCTCTCTCTCTCTCTGGTCTCCGCGCCGCTGCTCTTGGTGGCAACGCAACGGACGAGAGGGGCACGCAGAAAATATCTGTGAGTAGGGGTGGCCAAGCCGACAGTCGCTCCTATATACGCTCCGTGCTTGCGCAGTACACACGACCCCAGGAAATAATAATTTATTGTCATCACATCTTGAGGCGGCTGGTGTATCACAGAGAGCTCGTCACACACATGAAGCGCGCGCCGGAGTCCCTGCTAAAATTTCTTGCGTAGCGTCTACCCATCATTGGTGACCGTGTTCCATTCATCAGAGCAAAGAAGACATTACACAACACCGCCGTAAATGAAAGGCTCTCTCAGACAGGTGTGTTTGTGGCTGTTGCTACAGCTCTCAGCAGTATGAAGGCTGTGATGGTCGGCATTTGGCGTGCTGTTGTGGGAAGTATATGTGTGTGTCTGGCCCTGTGGCTCCCCGAGCGAAAACCTCACTGTCCGTCTGCCGGTAAGAGCCGACAGCCGATCGATAGAATGTTACACCAAGCGTTCAAAACTTCTCCTCCCTCAAGAAGACGTGATTATTATGCTGAACTTACGTTGACAGCAGTGCACCAAAAGAACGCGAACCAGGAATTTTACCAAAACCTACACCATGCACCTCGCGGCCATTCGTAGCATGACCCTAGGAATTACGACCCCCGGCCTCGACCGAAACTGCAAGAGGTGCGTGTTGTATTGCTGCTACAGTTACAATGTTGGCTGTTCCGACGTTCCAACCCCTGCTTTCTGACTTTCTTCTCTTCGTTGATTGAGAGATTCCGGCACAACGGCGAACAGGGACTCGACTGTTGCACACAAAAAACAGACGCCTCCGTTCCATAGCAATGTCCAACGAGCGCAACGATTAACAACTTGGACCATGGTCGGGTCAAAAGTTGCTCCCAGAAATCGCACCCGGGCGGTACAACTCTTAACCTATTGACGTGCACCCATCGCCCAATAGGCAGCAACCGCGGCTAGATGTATGTACAGAGCAGACCAGAACAGAAGTTCATTGCAAAGCGAGGAAAACCAGACGCGCTACAACATCGCCCGAGCGGCCGAAACGCCGAAAAAAACAGCTGATAATTCTCCACAAGATACGTACATGAGACAAAAAATATATCCGGCAACAGCAGACGACGGCAAAGACAACCAAAGAAAAGGATGCGCTCCCCTCCTACCGCGCCCCAAGCGCCCAACCAGATGCATACAGCTGTCTGTAAGCACTACGAAGAAACCATGTAGGGGGGGAGGGGGGGGGGTACGCAGAATCGTGCATGCCGTGTCGTTAGACCATTGATCTCGCATCCCTACAAAGCCGTACAGGGGTAGGAGACAAACAAATAACCATCCTCTTCTCAAGACAAAGTCAAACGAGACCAGCCCCCCGCCACGTGATCTCGAAAATCGTGCGGCTCTGGGTGCACGCGAAATGAGTGGCACCACGGAAAAAAAAAACGAATTAGACTAGAGGACTACTACTATTTACAGAAAAAGAAGGATGCGATATATTCGACATAACCCCACATAAACCGTCACCGCCACCGCCGGAAGACAATCAAGCGAGACACGAACCATCCATCACGCGCGCCCAGCCACCAGGCCACTACTCCCTCGCAACCACTGCTGTGTCCTCGCCACAAAACCACAACCGCACTCCTTAGCTTGCAACCGTCGAACCGCTCCGAAGGTTGAGGTTGCGCTCGACGGGAGCCCTGGTCACGAGGGTAGACACGACGTCCGCGGCCGCCACGGCTACGACCGCCAACCCTGTCGCCCACTCTATCGCCTTCACGCCCCGCTGGACCCCGCGCAGGCCGCGGGGGACGAGCACTGTGGCGGCGGCTCCCGCAGAGGCGAATCCTCCGGCAGACACGACGGCGGACGCGCCCGCGGCCACGACGCCGGCCCCCACGAGGCCCCGGGTCGCCTGGCGAGAGAGCACCTGTCGCCTGTTGTTGTTGTTGTTGTTGTTGTTGTTGTTGATGTTGTTGTTGTTGTTGTTAATTTCGGGCGAATGGAAACGGGACGCAGAGGAGGAAGGTTAGGACCCTTGTGCACGAAATGGGGGGAGCATATGGCGGGGCGGTGCCAACACAAACACGTTTACATGGCACATTGCACGGCCCTTCATCAGGCGAAGGGCGTCTGCACAACGGGATTAATCTCGTGGCGCTTTCGGAGAGGGGGCACTGTGCCAACCCTCTCCCAGAAAAAAGGGGGGAGCAAAACAAACCGTGGTATCTGGCAGTATCAGCAAGGCAAAGGTACAGCCGGCAACAAGATAACAACACCAACATCAAAAACTGCGCGATAATAACACGAAGTACAAAAGTACCGCCTTTGGAAGCCCCAACTTCACGCAGAAGAATCCTCACCGCCCGGTGCTGCACCAGTACGCGAACGTCTCGCAGTTGTTCGTGCACAGGTTGTACCCGCTCCACCCGCTGGCACCTTCGCCAAACTTGGCCGCCTCCGTGGCGCGGGTCACGATAAGCGCAGGGTCGTCCGCGGCGCAGCCGTAGCTCGCCCCGTAGTCGAGGCCGGTCGACCACGCGCTTGCGCCGTACGTGGCTCTTCTCAGGGTGCCACCCTGAACGCATGTGGCAGGCGTTGGGTCGCGTCAAGTGGCATTTTTTGGGGCGTTAGCGTCGTGTGTGTGATCTACAGCAGTAGCGTTAGCACGCTTTTGTATCGATGAGATTTGAGGTTCACGTTGTTGTAGCTCCGAGGATTGTTCCCGACTCTGCCTCGTCCCCTTGGGAGTCGAGGCGGCGGGAACAAGCCCGTGGCGCGCGAGTGCGATAGTCGTCCTGAAGCGTTCGCTGCCTGCAGGTCGATAGGCCGGCTCCCCTAGGCTATCGGGGGCCGGCAGGCGGGTGACCGAGTGGCAGTGCAAAATCAGAACACTTGACACTTGTAGCTCTCGACAGGAAACCTTATCCTTCTACCCCTTGCTGGACACGACGTCTGGCAAGTACGGCGGTGAATACGCAAGCACTGTCGTGGGGCCTTTCGAGAGGGGGCTTCGCGCGGGCACTCAGTCCGGCATACCCGGTACACGAACAACCAAATAGCGCAAACGGCCGTGAAACAGCGGTGGAATTTTACACAACCTCGAGCTTTCAAACACGTGCATCACAACCCACGTTCAGGAACGTCTCCAGGCTTGTCGATTCCACGCCGTCGCAGTTGGAGTCGAAGTGCACGACCCGCACGCCTCCGACTCGTCCGGGGACCGGCACGTGGGTCACGATCCCGTGGTGCTGGATGACCCCGCGGTACACATAGATCTGCCGGTGCATTTCGCGCGTACCGTTAGGAGAGTGGGGGGGTAATGGAAAACTTGTGCGATCGGCAGGCGGGGATCACTGAGGTCTTGCAACACAACGATCTGCGGTGTACCGTTAGGACGAGTGGGGGCAATTTAAAACTATTGTGTCGGTAGGTGCGGGTTCGCGCAAGGCAAAGACCTGCGGCCCTGCGTTTTTTCGTGCGCGGTCATGACTGCTACAGGCTATAACGCCCTGCTCTGAGCGTGTACGTGGGTTTTCAAGTGCACTGAGGCATTCTCTGTTTTTCGGACCGTACTGAGACTGACGTTTATTCGCTGCTCTGTCGGCTAGCGCAGTCGATGCCAGTACTGAACACATCCACGCACGGACGGGGGGGCTTGGCGGACTATACAGCGTGTTGGCCTTCGTAGATCCGCCACAAGACTGACGCCTTTTGATGTGTCTGCCGGATTCACGGGGCCGTCCACACTAACTGTAGGGAACGAACACGCACGCACACACCGATGTTCCGTTGCGACTGGCGCCTTTTCACTGGCAAAGCGGCGTTGTCGCCGCAAAATCGAAGGCACGCACGCAACACACAGCACCTGGTCGCCGGCACAGAGCTCGTGCTCGTGGACAGCATGCCCCCACAGCGTTTCTCCCTCCGCCGCCGCCACAGGAGCATCGCCTGCCGGACCGCCCGCAGCTCGCTCTTCCTTCCCCCCGGCAAGCGCCGTGTTGTTGTCCGCGGTGCCCGAGCAGTCGATTTCGATTGGTTGAGCCGAGCTCCCCGTCGGCGGGGCCGCGATACGGGCGAGGTCGACGTTTCGCCACTGCTGCCAACGCTGCAGCTCAAGCTCGGGGGCGTTGGCACCGAGGGTGCTGTCGTTGTCCTTGGTGCTGTCAGTGAACATTTCTTCCATCTCTACCATAAGCTCGGTGTGCTGTCGCAAAGCGGACGATTTTTCGAAGCGGGAGGAACTACCTGTTAGTCAGACGGTGTACCATGCTCTTAGGGTGTGCGTGTGATACTTCTGATGTACACGTGAGTGGTTGTGGGAAGGCCAAGAGAGGAGACAGCACAAAACTCTGGCCTACAGCGCGGGCGAGGAGGGCGAGGATGCTATTATGCCATGGGTTTTCGTGATTTGATATTGCACATCAGTCATGCATCGGCCTTCCGTTGGCCGCATTCGTGGGTGGCGATGACACTCTTGCCTCCGAAATTGGAAATCCCAAAACAAGTCCATAAAGCAGTGGTGCGATATCGAGAACCAGCTCAAGAAGGATAAACTCGCCGCATCTGACGACTTTCAATACGGGGGCATGAGCATCTTTTAACATCGAAACGTACAGTTGAACATAGTCTACACCACCTTCCAGGCTGTTGTACACTCGCGTATCGTAATGGAGTGCGTTGTGCGTATGTGTGCGGTAATCGAACTCCCTTTCGCTGTGTCCCGGGCGTGGTCAGACGGTAGTCAGATGTCATGATGTGATACAAACCAAGAGCGGGATGTTCCCCCGAGAAGCATACCGTATATGACACAAGATAACACACCTACATAACAAAGCACCCCCCCCACGGAATACGACACCCCGGTGGTAGTTTTGGGCGCTTCTGACAAACCATCGATGTAACACCGGGGGTACATAAGATAACACACCCCGGTGATGTTTTTAGTTGCGCCCCGTTACAAAAGAAACCACCCCCCCCCCAGAATACGACACCCCGGTGGTAGTTTTGGGCGCTCCTGACAAACCATCGATTTATCACCGGTACGTAAGATAACACACCCCGGTGATGTTTTTGGTTGCGCCCCGTGACTGCCCCTCCTTTTTTTATCACCGGGGTGACAGCATCTGCCCTGGGCAGTCACACACACACACAACCATGGCAGCTGTGCGCGGGGAAAACACCCCGCATGGAGAACCCCAACAACATGAACGTGCAGGCAGAGCAGAATGCAGCCGCAAGCACCTCCGCTCCTTCGACAACTGCTTCGACTGCAGCAGCGCAGGCGCCACAGCAGATCACCTCCTTCTTTGGGCCCGCGCACACCTCTTTTAAGCAAGAGGCTCCTACTCCTGCTCGTGCTGATCTAACAGCAGCAGGAGCTGGAACAGCAACAAGTGCCAACATGACAGCCTCCGCATCGCCTCAGCAGCAGCCAGTTGCTCTCTTGCTCTCAGCAGCACGTATGAGCACCGCAGCAGACGAGCCAACGCACACCAGCCAAGCATCTCAGCTTGTGGTGGACGTGGTGGACCAGGAGCCCAGCACTTCCGTCGGCACGGAAGAACGATCCCAGTGAGTGTACATGTGCTTCGTGGGTTGGCGTAGTATCAGTCCGCGTGTGGTCTCGAAACGTGCAATTGTGGGTTGGCTTTTGCACCACCCGCACACTCCAGGGTTCGTGTGATTTTGTTTTTGTTTGCGCCACACGTTCCCAGTGCACATTTTGAGGGTTTCTTTTGTGTGCAATCGCTTCTTTTAACCACACGTTCCCGGTACACCTTTTGTAACTTGTTTTGTGTGCATGTGCCTTTTTTTCCACACGCTCCCGGAAAATGATTCTGTCGCTGCGTGCCCATTTCGTAATTGTTCCGTTCGCAGTGTTTTTATGGCCATTCGTCGGTATTGTACACATTTTAAATTGTTGTTTGTGTATGATTCTTGCTCCTGCATGGCTTTGTGTGTCGTGGAAATGCCGCAGCTTTGTTTGCAGCTGGCATCTCCATACCACCCTGATAAATTTTCAATGGTGCTGCGTTGCACATTATTTGTTCACCCTAAAGTGTACTTCAACCGCCAAACGATTTTTGGAAAATTGGACACGGTGCCCTTGTCGACCAAAAATCAATCAGCATACTCTTTGTGAAGAAACAGCCTTGGTTTCCGCCCACACGACACACGTTTCCGTGCGTTCCAACATTGACCGCTTCATGCCTTCCCGAACATATTTGTCTCCGTTTGTCTTCTGAAGGGTGGGCGGCTCACCCGGAGCGCCTCCATCAGGAGCAGCACCGGCGCCAGCTCCAGCACCGGCAGCAGCAACGCCGTCAGCGGGAGGAGCGCCGGTGGCCAACGATGCTGTATCCGGCGACGTGATGTTTCCCGGAGAGACAGAGTGGGGAGATGGGCTCGGCGGCCTTCTCTTTGGTACGCCGGCACAGAACAAGGGCAAGAGGAACAAAGGGCAAGCTGGAGTTGGAGCCGCCGAACTTCACGATCCCCGAGCTTGGTGGTGGAAGCCAAAGGAAGCGCTACCTTCTGAAGTTTAAGGCGGATGCGGTGAGGTTCTCACAGAGGAAGATCAAGGGGGCGCAAGGGCCGAACGGGACTGTTGGGATAACCTACGCGACCAGGATCCTGAAGATTCCCGACAAGGCGACGTTGGCGGCGTGGGTCAAGAACGTCGCCAAGTACGAACCCGCGCTGGCGGAAGCGGACACGTACAAGGGAGGAGCGAAGCGCAAGAATAAAGCCAACAACCGCTTGTCGCTGAACGTCGGACGGATCAGGACGCACACGGCGGCCGAGCGTGAGGTCGTGGACTGGATCCTTCGAGCTGCACCACTGTTTCTGCCTGTTCTTGTACTTGAGGGAGCCCTGGAGGTCGGATGGCGCCGGCCTCTCCCCGAAGAAGTTCGGATTGAGTTCGACGGCCTTGTTCTTGATCATCCTCGTCGAAACACGGGCGGGTGTGCCGTCAGAACGTTCTCCAGGGCTCCCTCAAGTACAAGAACAGGCAGAAACAGTGGTGCAGAAGGTTTCTCAGGGTCTACCGCTTCTCTGTGCGAGCTGTCACCCGTCAAGGCCAGTAACTTCCTTCTGGCTGGCCTTTGGTCGCCATGCAGGCGATCAAGGAGTGGAGGAGGCTGAAGTACGACGTGCCTTCCGCGCTCGAACTTGCNTGATCATCCTCGTCGAAACACGGGCGGGTGTGCCGTCAGAACGTTCTCCAGGGCTCCCTCAAGTACAAGAACAGGCAGAAACAGTGGTGCAGAAGGTTTCTCAGGGTCTACCGCTTCTCTGTGCGAGCTGTCACCCGTCAAGGCCAGTAACTTCCTTCTGGCTGGCCTTTGGTCGCCATGCAGGCGATCAAGGAGTGGAGGAGGCTTAAGTACGACGTGCCTTCCGCGCTCGAACTTGCAGACGGAGTCTAGTGCCTGGGGGTTGTGGCAGGGGCGGGAGGCAGCGCGAGCGGCAGCGGGGGTGGGAGTGGCGCTGGTGTTCTTTCGGGGCCGCGTCTCAAGTTCGCCTTGGCGCAGATCGGCAACATGGACGAAACCCCTACGTGGTTCGAGAGCCCGGGGAAGGACACTGTGAACGTGAACATTAGTTTTGCCCAAGTTTTTGCTCGCACTGCCTTAAATGTAGCAATCCTGTCCTTTCCTCCGTGAACGCTTCTTTTGGGCAACCCCTTCTTTTGTGAGGAACTATCTCTGTAGGTAGTTTGCACTCTTTTCTTTCGTTTCCTATTCTCTGATATTGGTCATGTTTTTTTGCAACCATTGCTGCCACTTTCCGAATCTTGGCAACAAAAGCCGTTTCCACGCACCCCACGTTGATGTCGGTTTTCGCTGTTCTACGAAATCCCGCAGGCCACGGGCGAGAAGGAGATTGCCGTCACCGGCGGCAAGGAGAAGATGCGCATCACTTCGGTCCTGACGGTGTTCGCCGACGGCGACAAGCTTCCGTCCCTCCTCATCTTCAAGGGCCAGCCCACTCCGAAGGGAAAGTCCCCCGCCGCCAACAGCATCGAGCGCGAGTTCAAGAACTTAAGGACAGGAAGGGCTGCGCGTACCCGCGAGGTATGGCCTACGCCGTGGACCCCAAGGGATGGCACTCCTGGCGGGTGTTCGACGACGTGCGGGTGCCGCAGGTGTGGAACCGGCGCCCGGGGCGGCAGGGCCGCCTGGGCGGCTACCGTCAGCCTGACACGCCCCTGGCGTGGGACGACTACACCGTCCACAAGACAGACGCGTCTACCAAGGCGNTGGCGGGTGTTCGACGACGTGCGGGTGCCGCAGGTGTGGAACCGGCGCCCGGGGCGGCAGGGCCGCCTGGGCGGCTACCGTCAGCCTGACACGCCCCTGGCGTGGGACGACTACACCGTCCACAAGACAGACGCGTCTACCAAGGCGATGGAGGAGTCCAACACGACGCTGTTCCCCATCCCGGGAGGCCTGACTCCAAAGCTCCAGCCGTGCGATGGCCGGAAGCCCTCGAGCAACTGATACATGACGTGCCGCTCGCCCTCGTTGCCCCACTCCGCTTGGTCGCCGTCATTGTCGTCCTCGTCACTGCCGTTCTNGACAAGCTTCCGTCCCTCCTCATCTTCAAGGGCCAGCCCACTCCGAAGGGAAAGTCCCCCGCCGCCAACAGCATCGAGCGCGAGTTCAAGAACTTAAGGACAGGAAGGGCTGCGCGTACCCGCGAGGTATGGCCTACGCCGTGGACCCCAAGGGATGGCACTCCTGGCGGGTGTTCGACGACGTGCGGGTGCCGCAGGTGTGGAACCGGCGCCCGGGGCGGCAGGGCCGCCTGGGCGGCTACCGTCAGCCTGACACGCCCCTGGCGTGGGACGACTACACCGTCCACAAGACAGACGCGTCTACCAAGGCGATGGAGGAGTCCAACACGACGCTGTTCCCCATCCCGGGAGGCCTGACTCCAAAGCTCCAGCCGTGCGATGGCCGGAAGCCCTCGAGCAACTGATACATGACGTGCCGCTCGCCCTCGTTGCCCCACTCCGCTTGGTCGCCGTCATTGTCGTCCTCGTCACTGCCGTTCTCTGTCCCCTCGGGGGTAGCGCCTTCCTCCTCGCCGGTGGCTGCTTCGGCCTCCTCGGGAATCGGCTCCTGTTGGGAGCGATCTCCCGGAGAGGGACGTTGCACAGACACACGTTGAGAAGGGGTGCCCCTTCCCGGTGGGGTA